TTTATCTGAATATGGACAGATAGAAAAGCTTTTCTTTTAAACTTAACATCGTTGATAACTTCATTGAACGAGGACAATATTAGCAGAAAAAGTCTATTCACTATCTTAAAAATAGGACAACATTCAATATCATAGTGCAAACTGTTTTGACATCAGAATCCATGGGGAAAATCGCTAGGAAAATAACATTTTTATTAGTAGAATTAATCTATAAATTCGAATTCAATCATCTCATTCTGATGAAATATGATCTTTAAAATTCAGATTGCATTTGATTTTATTAGCTTCTCAATCATCTTTGTTTGTCTGGAACTACTAGTACATTCTACCTCAGTGAAATTTTCTGCTGCAATTCTTAGAATTATGGAAAATATTTTAGTCTTTTCTGGAACTTTTTACAAATACAGTAACCCGATATTTTAACATTGATTAGTCCCGACCTATGTAAAATTAAATGTTTAGCTTTTTATGTGTTAGAAAATGAATTTTGACTATCTATATATCAGAGAAGCTTGGGATTTTTTTTCATAGTATATCATGAAATCTTGCTATATTCTCTCTCGACAGTGTGGGTGTGGGTGAAGATGTCTTCTCCGACACCCACACTCATACCCGCGCAAAATTTCAAAGATAAGTTCCTACTTAATCGTCCAACTGCAACTGCCAAAAATCCCGCAAGAATGAGCAAAATGTTTTAAATAAAAATTTCAGTAAAGTTTCAACTACTCCACGAAATTCTCTGTAAAATTCTGCATATTTGGATGGATGTTTTAGATTTTTAAAAGGAATATTTGACAGAAACAGTTTTTAGAGAAAAAAAAATGGAAAATTACTAAAAAAGTCCTTTTTTTGTAAACCACGCATCGTTTAATTTAAAACTTATACCATTTTGTTCAGAATTTAATTTTAAATCTGATGGCAAAATAATAAATATCTTATAGAGCGTGTCTGACTTTTGAAAATATGGTTTTTCCAAGGTGTACTGAAAAATATTGACAGGTATTAGTTCCTATTTATGTTCAATAATTTATACTTTAATCCCTGCCCTTCATGAGCAAAAGCTTGCACAAATTAATAATTTTGCGTCAACAAAAACTTTCTTTGAAAAACAAAATCAATAGTTTTGTAGAGCTTGAAATTCTCTATCTATTGATAGATAAAGAAATTTTCTATTTGTCCCAGAAATAGAAAAAAAATGCATTAACATTTTATCCAATTTATCATGCCCAACCTGTTAGTGAGTAAATCTTTTTTTTGCCTATAAACAGTTCATCTTAGCAGAGGTTAATCAAAGAGCAACATATGTTAAACAATGATTAATAATGGTTATAGCAGTTAATCAAACATTTATTCGTTTATTTTCATAAAATATATCGTGTCGGTATTTATTTAAAAACAATCTATAGTTGGAATAAGAGTGATAATAGCAATGTTTGTATAATCTTGTTCTTGTTTTTATACATATGTAGCGTACATCTCTATGAAAATGATTTTTCTTTTACAGAATATTCAAATAATATTCTCTATTTCTTGTTTTGAAATTTGATATGACTCAAAATTAATTTAGAAAATTCAATTTCTATTAATAGCTCATTTGAAATCGAAAAAAACCAATAAGGACATAGTGTTTTTACCAACGAGTGCAATGATCTTAGGATGTGGTAAATCAAATAAAGAAAATTCAATTCTATTATTATCGTCAACTTTATTGTAGTACCATTCTTTATCTCTTCCATTATTTTGAGCAACTCAGAAAACTGCAGCAATACGATTGACAAAGATGTTGAGCTCTTCGTTTCGTTAATGAAAAGAAAATAGTCAAAGAAAGATATAATTAAGATATTTCTTTTATTTATACTGATACTATTCGCAATGCATTATATTATTTGATGTTCTCTTAGTTAATTTGTAAGAAAATAACTAGCGATTCCTTTAAATTTGATGTTTTATCAAGTTTTTCCTATTTGAATTGTACCAATAGTAGAATAATTAATGTATCATTTATGCATAAATGAGCTATACATAAGATTGATAAGTATCTTACAGAAGGTCTTATGAAAAAAGAGAAAAGAAATATATATATATAAACGTGAATATAAACTAATCTTTTTGAACTCAAAAATAAATTGTCATGAAACGATAACAGAGAACAAAGTGAATATTGTGCGCTTTAGATCTAACAAAAAAATGTTTTTAATCATACACATTATCTTAATAAGTTAAAATAAAAAGAGAGAGCTTATTAGCATAGACTCAATTACTATTGGTACGGTTAAAAAATTCAAAACATTCTTAAAGATCAAGATTTTAACTATCTATGTAAATTTAGGAATATCTATATAATTTTTAATCATTACACCCAACATCCTTTGATACTTTTATTAATTAGTGGTTTTGAAATTAGGATAAATTGAAATCTTCTTCCTTAGTTAGTGTGTATTTACTGAATGTGGCTCAAAAACAAATGACGACCACTAAACCAATCCATTACACCAGACCACACATCATTAACCTTTTTTTCCTCATACTTTTGAAAAAAATGTTTTTTGCTGGTTTTTTTATTGTCTTTTTTTCTCCTTAAGACGATATCTATTCAAGAAAAAAATGAAAAAACAACATTAAAAAAAAACACGTAAAAATAATAAATTTAAAGAATTTTCCTAAATAATGAATTTTTTTAATTTCAAATATCTAACTCTGTCAGATTCATTTCGTTTCAGTTAAACTTTAATTAAAGAATAAATAGAAAATATTTTTTCGTAAATTTCTTTCGAAAACGAAATAAAAGTAAGATTTATTTCATTTTAATTTTAATTTTTTTAATTTTAATTTTTTGAAAACTATAATAACTACAAAAAGTGGAGATCTTTATTTGTTCTAAATGAAATTGAAATTATTTGAATAGATTCGTTTTTATTCGATTTAAAAATAAATCAAATAATTCGATTTTTTTTACTTTCGTTTTAATTTAAATGAAATGTAATGTAATTTTATTGTAAATTAATAAAATTAAACAAATCAAAATAATTAGATTTCAAAATATGTACGAAAAAAAATTTAATATAAATTTTCAATGTTTAAGAAAAAAAAACACAAAAGCCCTCCTTATTAGAGAATCTGTTTTGGTACTTATAGCGTACACATACTAACCCATACGCATACGGAAGTCGTTCCGTTCGACATGGGATCTTATCAAAAAACTAAAAATCCTCGTAAAAGACCTTTTGTAACACAAATTGCTACTTTTCTCAAGTCTAAAATGACTTATTATGCTGATATATAAAATACAAGTTTACTTTTTTTGAACATTCTATATCACAAGACAATGAGCTACAGACTCAAAATAAGTTTCACTAGAACATAGAAATCTCCTTAAAGGGTATTGGTGTGAGTGTGAGTGTAGGTGAGGGTGAAGAGGATACCAACACTCATTCACATCCCACTCTTTTCTAAAACTCCACATCAATTTTAACTGCAGTGTATTCCGCTTGAGCCCCATACCACTCTACTCCTTTTTTCTAAAATCCTACTCCAACTTCCATTTAACTTCGATTCCAGTCGGATTTTACAAAACTGAACTTCTGCCAAAATACTCTTAAATACACATAAGTTTTTCAACATAATTAAATCAACGATTGATATAAATTAGTAGCATATTAATTTATTGCTTTATAAACTTTCTCATAAAATTTAAAGATAGGCACCTCCATTCTGTCCTGTTCCTACTCCATTTCCACTCTGATGAGAAAAAGCATTAACTTTGGAGTTGGAATTCCCCATCTCTGATATCAACTATTTCAAAATATTTACTCTTCAGATCCTCCTGAACATATCTATAATATGCGAGCTTACAGAAGACTTCTCAGAACAAGTACTACATAAGGATTATAGCATGATCCTCATAGAAGATACTCATTATTTTTAGATTTTCAGATTTTGACACAGTATTTTATTTAGTCATCAAGATTCTGTTCGAGGACCCTAATACAATGGTTTGAAGATGGTGTTCATCAAAAGTTAAAAATAGCATTTTAGAACACTTTCTTCTCAAAGCCCATAAAATCCATAGATCCTAATGTTTGTCACTGGAGAACTCCGTTCGGATTGACATTCATCTTTTCAGCATTTGCAAAGGTAGAAGCCCTCTCAGATTACATAGATTCGTGTGGAATCCTCTCAACTTTGTTCGGTTTCGCTTGTATCCAAGCCTTCTCATGATCCTACTCAGAGTACATCACGGTTGTTCTTCGAACAGCTTCACATAACTTACCAAAAGCCTTATAAAATTTCACCGGCATTCTCTATGCAAATACTTAGCAGATCTACATTCATCATACAGAAAATCATGTATCCTTAAGGTTTCCTAAAAAACATAGGGATTAAGTTTGATATTATGTTGTTCAACGATTCGATATTCTTCTCACAAGATACAGATAGAATCTTATCTGATGTTCATATAAATGATCATTCTGCCAAAAAGATTCTAAATTCTTGCAATTCTGAAAAAAATCCTCAGATCCTTATGTTTTTCTAGCAAAACCTTACATGGAATTAGTATTACTCTTTCTTGGAGAACCTCCTTACAACAATCTCAAGGTATTATTTTTAGAATCAAAAAGATCTTAGCAAAAACTAAAAGTAACATATATGTAAGAATCGTTACCAAATTCTTTTTTTCTCATAAGAAACTCGGAAAACACTTCTGAATTTTTATCTGCGGAACGAGCATTCTCAAAGGCGAATGTCGTATTTGTAGCACTTGTTCTCACGAGAGACAGAATCCCTTCGATAACGACGATTTCTTTTCTTTTTCCTTCATTGTAGTAATTCTCAATATTCCAGCCGATGCCCGATGGGCCCAGAAGGGAGTGACCGTTGCTGGAGGCCATGGAGGGGTTAGTGGCATCAATCAACTCTACCGCCCTTGTGGTCTCTTCGTTGATGATGATCAAACGATGGTCATCGCTGACTGCTGGAATCATCGTATTATCCAATGGAAGATGGGTGATACGAATGGACAAGTTGTAGCTGGTGGCAATGGCAAAGGAAATCGATTGGATCAATTGTATTGTCCAACCGATGTATTGATTGACAAAGAGACGGATAGTCTCATTATTTGCGATTCAGGGGATCACCGAGTCGTACGATGGTCTCGTCGTAGTGGCACAACTCAAGGAGAAATCCTCATCGACAACATCGCTTGTCATGGATTGGCCATGGATGATCAGAGATATCTCTACATCTCTAACACCGACAAACATGAAGTAAGACGATATCAAATAGGAGACAAGAATGGAACTATCGTGGCTGGTGGCAATGGCAAAGGTGATGGTCTCAATCAACTCAACTTTCCGACCTACATCTTTGTCGATCAACAACAGGCTGTCTACGTGTCAGATTGGAACAATCATCGTGTAATGAAATGGAATAAAGGTGCAAAAGAAGGAATTGTCGTCGCTGGAGGGCAAGGCTATGGAAATGCTCTAACACAGTTGTATTATCCTGAAGGACTGTTCGTCGATACATTGAGTACTATCTATGTGGCAGACTCGTGGAATAATCGAGTGATGCGTTGGCCTAAAGGAGCGAAACAGGGCACTGTCATTGTGGGTGGAAATGGTGAAGGAGAAGGAGCAAATCAGTTCAACTATCCCTATGGTTTGTCCTTCGATCGACAGGGCAATCTCTATATCGTCGATAGGCGTAATAATCGTGTTCAACGCTTTTCAATCGAATAGACTCGTCGTGATAGATTTTTTTTCTTTCCTTTCCTTTCAAATAAATCGCACTGAATTGATGAAATGAATGGCTTATTCTATTCGCGCGCGCGACCAGGAACCATCCTGGTGGAGCCGTGACGAGCGTAACGCTCATGCACGCGCAGGACAGACTCATATCATTCATATCCTCCCCGTGAGAGATATGTCAATGAGTCTGAATAAGCCTGGTCGTGTGCCACGGACACCAAGACGATTCCTGGCCGGGCTTTTAGGGACTACCCGGAAGTCCTTCATAAAAGGCGAAACTCTAACCCTCAACTGGCAGAACTCACTCTCGCCTCTCACTAACACTCACTTTTCTGAGTCTCATCCTCACCCTTCTCAATCTCAATGTCACTATCTAACCTCATCCCTCTCTCACCCCTATTCTCTTTCTCAAAAGAAAAAAAAAATTACTCACGTGTTCGAATGTTGGACGATGATAAAGAAGACGCGATGATGTTGAAGACTGAAAAGAAAAAGAAAAAGAAAAAAAATTTAATTAATGTTATATTATGAGAAAATATTAGTTAACTTACCATTTGTTATCTTTTCCTAGTTGATAATAATCATAGAACCTAAAACAAAAGACAACAAAATAAAAG